GGAATATGTACAGAAAAGCATTCTTTTCATGTATAAGTCCGTACATATTCCATACAAAATACACGGAAAATGTATGGAAAAACCATCCATTTTCTAACAAAATTTTTTATGTGGACAAAAAAATTTAATACAAACTTACTATCTATTTTATCTTTATTATTTATTAATGATATTTCTGAACACAATACTAATGTTCCACTCTTACTATATAATGTTCCCTTTATTTTTAAATAGTTATTTTGCTTTTTTTTTTCACTAAAACTTAATATATTAATAAGTAATCATGACTAAAAAAGAATGGTTTAATTGCCACAGAATCTGATTCATTTGACACAATCATTCCATTGACACACATTTCGTCAACAGTTCATTTTGTTAGCAGCTCATTTCGTCAACAGTTCATTTTGTTCATTTAATCAACAGTTCATTTCGTTGACAGTCATTTTGTCAACAGTTCATATGATTTTAGCATACATATGCATTGATTATTGAAATCATGATTTCGGAAATATCAGAAAATTTAGATAAAAAGAAAATTTGGATACTAATTAGAACTGTCAATGAAGTGAATGTGACTGTTGCCACATATAAAAGAAGGTTTAACCATTAATTGATGAGATTAAGAAGATAGAGAAATCATTAAATTTTGCTGCTGAGACTGTTCTCAAGATCTAATCCAACAAGAATCAGACATAATATTGCTGACTGAGAAAGGAATGAAACTTTAGCAAAGGTTAAAAACAAAGAAAACTTTAATTGGCCATGGAGAAAAAGAAAAAGAAATAATTATGGTCAAGGCAGATATGATAGAGTAACTACTTGGTAGTCCACAATGCAAAATAATTTTAGATTGATATGTTACAGCTTATGAAGACAGTAGAGGACACAAATGTTCACATGCTATAATTGCCAAAAGAAAATTGGAAGGGGCAAACTTTACTTGAAAAAAGAATAATACACCTAATTATGTGTGTGTACCAGGAGCAAAGAAACAGAGGAAATATTTATCACTCGTGTGATAATGTGAAAGTGCACAAAAAAGACATGCTTAAAAGTTGACTTTCTGATTTGGAGCAAGTGTTTTTTCTGGTCTAGTATTAAGAGCAAACTCAAAAGCTTATGCAGCAATCTGCACCAAACATCATGCAAATAATTTAATTTATGGACAAGAGTGAGCAGATTTAATAAAATAGATGAGCAATATAAACTGATGAGGTACTGGTTTAGTTTTGGAGTAGGAAGATTAGGAGGCCAAAATTCACCCCACTTCTATATGCAAGTGCAAATAAGTCTATGGAGTTACTGGGTCCAAAGGAGCTTACAAACTAGCTACACCTGAACAAATAGAATCAGCTAAAAAAGCCTTGCTGACCAAACCAAAACAATATTATTGCTGAACAGAATAAGGTGATTGCCAAACTGCATAATAAAGTAAACTATGGGTATACAGCTATCTCTACCAAAAATCATTTTCCTAATAATATCAATGCTGTTGACCAAGAAACATGAAACCAAATTGGTGAACTGTTACAAGAACTTATGCAAAAATTTGAAAACACCCTGGACTTTCATGACTTTCAGATTGGAGAAGAACTTGTAAAACATTAAAAAGGAAAAGAGGTGAATCCGAGTTCACAATAAATTTGTTTCCTAAACTTGAATACTGAAGGCATTATAGGCCAATTAAAAAGGCAAAACTATGGGAAATGAACATCTTGCTGAAAAACTCCATAATCTGAGGCTTAATATAAAAAATGAATAAGACTCCTTGGGTTGAATTAGAAAGCCAGCTTAATAAGAATAAGAGAGAGAAAGTTTACTGAATGGTAGCTGTGGAATACTCCTAGTTATTTCAGTTATTAAAATAGTAAAGATTAAAAGAAATAAAAGTTAATTGTGTCGTCTAACACTTTTTTTATTTAGTATAAAAATTATTCAATTACATTTTGTACTGGCTTGGGACTAAGGTTGCTTGCTGAAACCTCTTAATGACTGTCAAAACTCTGTCAATTGATTTCTGGAAGAGTTTTTCCCACAACCTTACTTGGGACAAGTGATGTCTTTAAATTCATCCATTAATATGCCTGGTAATTTCTTAAAATAAATTCCCAAAATAACTTTGATATTTAAGTACTGAAAACCTTTTCTACCTTCATAAAACTGAGCTTTGTTTAATCCAGCTGGACTATATAGAATTTTTACCACCTCAATCACATGATTCACACAGTCTATTCTTATTCTTCTGTATTAGACTTAAAATGAGAGCTTTATATATGAGTGATTTATAACAATTACTAATTTATGAATTTACATAGCATTTTTTTTAATATTGAAAGTTTTTTTATTCTAGCATTTAAATGATGATTGGTAATAATATTATAAATATATTGTATTTTTTTTTTATTTAAATTAATGTGATAGATAATACTATAAATACTGTACATAAGTAAATTTATATCAATGCTATTAAATAAAATATGATTAGAAACTAATTAAATTTGTATTAGTAATGTTGGTAATTTATGAAAATATTTAATGATTCTTTAAAATTGTAAAAGCATTGTAAAAGTACAATGTTAATTTATGATAATATTGAACATAATTTTACATAATTGAAAATGTAGCATTGAAATGTTTATGCAAATTCATGTAGGGTCCATAAAATTATGTTAATTTTTAACATAAAAAATCACCCATAAAAATTCCCTGATGTATAATATATGTGTATTCATGAATAATTTTTTTTTAAAATATTTTACAAGATTAATAAAATCTAAAAATAAATAAATCAATATGGAATTGAAAATGCATTTGATTTTATTTTCGACAATGTTTCCATATAATCGGAAAACAACAACAGATACCAACAATAAAAATAATTCCTAGAAATATTCCACTTATAACTCTAATTCCTATTTCATGAGAAGTAGAAAAACTAAACGGACCTATTTCTATTCCTGCTTCGCTAATCATGCTTGGTTTGATAATTCCAATAATTGGAATTAATATAAACCCTAAAGCAAATAAACCCCCAAAAATTACAAAGTAAATAGCTGCTCCTTTCATAATGGTTTTTTTTTTGACAGAATTTTTTTAAGTGGGAGTTATTTTATGAAAAAATTTTATTTGTAAAGTTCGTTCCCATTTGTCTAAAAAAAGAAATAATATAGTCATTTTAAACTATATGAAGTGATTTTGTTTAAGTTGTGTTGTGTAATACTATTACATATTACACTACTCGGATTAAATTTTCGCCTTTTGCTTTTGGCTGAATTACTGTGTAATTATGACCACCGAGACAATTTTTTGTATGGTAATATAATTTATAAATAAAAAAAATTATTTTAGTATATATTTTTTAAATTTTTACAATTATTATTAAGCAAAGGCAATAGGATTAGATGTGTTTTTGTTTAATAAGAAAGATAATTATAATATTCAAGAATTTGAAAATTAGATTTTAAAATTAAATTAGAAACAATTCCTGATGATGAAAAGAAATGCGACTTTATTGTCTTTAGATAATAATAATATATTCCATTTGGTATAGAATATAGAGATATTACATTTAAACAAATAAAAAATAAACGATCTCATCATATCTCGAATTAAGGTTTTGATCATTCATTCTTATTGGTCAATTTAACATCAGCAAAGTAAAAAAAGTCGATTTGAACCAACATTTAAAGGACAACAACCGGATTTTTATTTATAGATTAATCGGCTGAATCTCGAAGAACATTTTTGTATTAGAAGATGATGCCCTCAGAAAAAATTTTTATGTCAGAAAATTTTTATCGGCTGATTAATTGTTTAAGGGATAAATATGAAATATAATAGTAACTTGATGTGATATATAGAACATTTGCTGAAACAACCAAGAGAAAAGAGATTATTCAACATAGTTTTTAGCAAGAAATTTTTATTAATTAAAAAATAGCAGAATTTTGCAAATTTGTTTGTTTGGATAATATTTTAAATATTATATTTTAGGGCCAATCAGAATTTTGAAAATAAAATTCATTTATTTTTTTATTTAATAATACATTTTACATCTCTATTTTTAAGTCCATTATTATAATAATTACCATAGTATTCAATTTCGTCAATATTATAATCTTCATTTATTGTTATTATTTTGTTGTTGATTTCTACATAAAATCTATTTTGATTAATTGCCGTACTATATCCATTATTGTTATTATTATCCTTGTTATTATTATGGAATTCTAAAATAATTTTTGTTGTATATATATCCCATTTTGTTGATGAAATTGTAAAATTTATTCTTTTTGCAAAGGTAATTATGACTCCATGGTTAATGGTTCTTTGACAAGGTTAATCATGATGAGTGGAATATCAATGGATGTTTGTACAAGATCCAGAATCCAACTTTTATAGATCAAGAAGAAACATTTCTAATAAGTATTTTAGAAAGAGAAATTTTAAGTATATATGGTTGAATTTCACAGTTTAATGAACAAGTTAGAAAATTGTCAACTATTCTTTGTAATTATTAACAAAGAGAAATATATCTCCAATTAATGACCCTGATAAGTTTGTTCAAATAATTGAGTTTTTTGATTTGTTTTATCAAAGTATGAATCCTTCTTCAAAAACTCAAGAAGATTTAAAAAAAAGATTATAATACTTTGTTACCAATTGCAAATGATTGATGATGATCCTAACATACCATTTGATAACAATTTGGATCAAAAACTTAAGTTTGCAATATATAATGTTAATAAAATGGGATAAATTAATTAATATTAATATGATTGTCAAAAAAAAATTAAAGTTGGAATTTTTTAATATTATATATAGAAATGCACCCGCAGATCATTTAATATTACGCAATTATGTAATTATTTATTATTATAAATATTAAGGAATTAGAATTGAGGACAACAGCGACACAACAGCAGTAACAACAGCACAGCATAAATAACAGCATCAAATTTTTGTTATTGATACTTCGTTTGATTAAGTACAAATGAAAAATGTCTTTGAATAAAAGTGATCAAAAAAAAAAAGAAGAGACATTACCAGAGACAGAAGAATCTATTAAAGCCAACAACCAATTACAAAATCAACAAGACCAACAAAAAAGCATAAACGAAACACCACCATCAAGCAATATTGATAATACTGGTAATAAGTTAGCATCATCATCAATGGCAACAAGTGTAGTGAATAACAATGATGACTCTAGTACTTTAGATAAATCAAAATCTATTTTATTAAACAATAACAAAAATTATGTAATTAAAATCAAAGAAATTGAACAAGTGCCTGATGAGAATTCAATATTTGATGAGAATTTGAATAATCCTAACATTATAAGAAAGCTTTCAAATGCTGAGGAAGATGTATGCTATCCTATAAGACCACTAAATAAAAAAGAGGGAATAGATTTTGAAGCATTGGAAGAATATATTAGAGAAGAAAATGCATTGATGGCTAAGAAAAAGAATAATATCAACAATAATGATGATGAAACAAAAGCAACTTCATTAAAAAGACGAGTTAGTCAATATGCTGAAAGAATTAAGGTAATTTGGTTTATTATTAATAAAGAATTATATTAAAAATAAACAAATGAATATGTATTTATTTATAATTAGCCACCACCAGATCTTACCGAAGCATTACGATTTACATTTTATTCTACAGAGACAGGAACTATACGCACCAACTGTTTTTCAGAGATCCCACCAAAAGGTCAAACAATGACAGAATTATTAAAACAAGGATATTTTTGGATTGATGTATTATCACCAACTGATTCAGAAATGAGGATTTTAAGTTCGGTAATTATGAAGAAGAGGATTTGAAATTGATGTACAATGACTCAATTATTCCACAATATTTATATCATTATTTTATTAATATATGTATGATGTTGTAGATTTTTCATATTCATCCATTGACAACAGAAGATATTGAGACAGAAGAATCACGAGAGAAATGTGAATTATTCAAAAATTATTATTTCATTAATTTTCGATCATACAATCAAAACAATTGTAATCCATCAGATGATATTGAACCTATAAGCATGTTTAATGTTGTCATGAGAGAAGGGATACTATCAGTAAGTGATTGTGATTTTAATATATTATTATTATTATTATTATTATTATTATTTATTTAGTTTATTAATATGAAGAATATTTCATGTGAATTGCTTAATAACAACAATATCAAATAATAATAATAATAATATTTATAGTTTCATTATCAACCAACGTCACATGCTCATAATGTGAGAAGAAGAATACGTCAATTAAAGGATTATATTAAAGTGACACCTGGTAAATCAAACATCAAATTTCCAAGAAAAATTATTTAAATTTCATGCACCAATAAAAATTTCATAATTTTGGTTTTAATCTTCTCAATGATAATTAATAATTCAGATTGGATCAATTATGCTTTAATTGATGATATAACTGATTCATTTGCACCACTTATACGCCAAGTAGAGTTTCAATCAGATGCAATTGATCAATTGGTGTTGGTTCTTAAGAATTCAGAGCAACAAGATATGTTGGTGAGGATAGGAATTTGTCGTAAGATGGTGATGACATTTTTAAAATTGTTGGGTACAAAAGCAGATGTTATCAAAGCATTGATTAAAAGATGCGAAGAAATAAATGCAGCAGGTGGTGAGAAAAATGGTGAGAAACATGGGCCTGGGGATGTTGTTCTTTATTTAGGCGATATTCAAGGTAATTAATCAATTAGATATTTATATAATTATTAAATTAGATAGTTTCATTGATCTCATAAATACTATTTTTATTTTTAGATCATATTATTACAATGTTACAGAATCTTAATCATTATGAATTGATTTTGTCACGAGCACATTCAAATTATCTTGCACAAATATCTATTGAAATTACACAACTTAGTAACAAAACCAATGAGATTATAAATAAGTTAACAGTATTTGCCACAGTACTTGTACCAATGAATGTTGTAACAGGTAAATTAAATAAATAATAAAACATTACTAACATGACTGATATTATTAATCAATAATACTACTATTTATTGTTATTGTAGGATTATTTGGTATGAATGTTAAAGTACCTGGTCAAGATGAGGATGATCTCATATGGTTTTTCTCAATTGTTGGTGCACTTACATTGTTTGGATTGATAAGTTACTTCATAATAATGAGAATACAAAAATCATTAACTTGATAAAACATTATTTTTTATAATCTTGGATTTTTTGGATTTTTGGAAAACCTCATTTTTTTTGTTTAGTATTATTACTACATAGAGTCAAACCTCGATAAGCCAAACTTTTGGGAATCACAAAAATAGGATTGGCTTATCAAAATTCAGTTTATGAAAAACGATTTTTATTATTATTGATTGTTCAAATGTAAAAATGTATAAAATAATAAATTTTATTTATAAAAGGTTTGGGTGATTGACAGTATGGTGGAGTAAACTGGATTTTATCATCAATTTATGATCAACTGGTTTTCACAAATATTCTGCTTAGAAAGTTGCATTTTATTATGTTGCATTGAATGTTAGATTCAGTTTATCAAGTAGAAATTACAATTAATAAAATTCGACTTAATGAAATAATTTTTATTAAATATGATTTGATTAACCAATTTGGTATTGTTATAAAGCAAAAATTGGTTTATATTAGTTCAATTTATCGAGGTTTGACTGTAGTGATAATAATTTAATCAGGCAATAAATTTAGTGCACCCAAAAAAAAGGTATGTCTTAAGAAATTAATATTTAATGATTAATAGTAATAATAATTATGATTAAAGACACCTGCCATAATTGGTTATTGTGGCAATGGTAACTACCATTATAAAATAAATGCAGCTTCTGTAAATTTTATTTTTACATGACCTATTAAATTTTGGTATGATTCAATTAATCTTGGAAGGAAATATTTTAAATACAGTCAAACCTCGTCACAGCGGACCTCAACGGATTTAAATTCGTGCCACAATGTTAACGGATTTTTGATTGGGAACCTTCTATATGACTACTAATCTTACCACAGCGGATTCACGTGACAGAGAAATTTATAAAATTATCCGAATTACTAAAAAATAGTAGATAGGCAACAAAAAAAATTTTTTTTTAATTTACGGATTTAATTAAATACAAAACAATAAACGGATTATTTGATCAAGTAACAAAAAATTTCCAAGTTTCTAAAATAATTTATCAAATGCTTGCGATTAACAATATTTTTTAAGTTTCTAAATAATTGATCCAACGTCTGCAGGTAACAAACAATTAAATGAATTATTTGTTCAAAAGTTTACAAGTAACAAAATTTTCCAAGTTTCTAAAATAATTTATCAAACGCTTGCGAGTAACAAATAATTAAATAGATTGTATGTTCAAATATTGCAAGTAACAAAATCCCAAGTTTCCAAATAAATAACTGAAAGTTTTTAGACAATAAAACGAACATGATTTATTATCCTTCTCCAAAGATCAAAATTTCAAAATGTATAAATTAAAATGAAAATTTTGTTTATTAAATTTTACAACTATAATCGAAAAAAAAATAATGAAAAATTAATACAACCAAATATTTCATCTTATTTCAAAAAATAGATTTTTTAATTCCTGCATATATTAGTATCATGTGTTTTTATTATTAATTCCATTGTATTATTATCTATTACTATTAAAAAATTTTTTGTCGATCATGATCATCACCATAGCGGATTTCTTGTCACAACGGATTTTTTTTGGCTGGTCCCATCAATCCGCTGTGACAAGGTTTGACTGTATGCAATTCCACACCTCCTGTAACATATCGTTTGACTAATACAGTGTGTGACAAAAAAACTAAATTCAACATAGATTCACGAAAATTGCACCAACTCCAATGATAAATATACCATTTAGAAGTGAAAAAGCCACAGAATAAACTTTATTAAGCTTAAAAATTGATTTGTTCACCTTTACTTTCAATAACTAACTCACAATAGTGTCACATTTAATTACTAAATTATTCATAACTGATTTTGGAATAGAATTTCATTATTCTCTCAAAAACTTCAAATTGACCAAATTTTTGGGCATTTGTTTTTCAACATTGCCCTTAACAATTACCCATAAATTTTCTATGGGGTTAAGGTCAGGACTACAAAAAAGGCCAGTTGATAATTTCAGGTGCATTTTCAGCAAGAAATGCTCAAGCTACTTGGCTTGTATGCTTGGGATAGTTATCTTGCTGAAAGCACCACTTTTTTCCAAGCATTTCATTAAATTCACTGAGATGGTCTTCAAGTATTTTAACATAAAACTCACCATCCATTATCTGCTGGAAGCAAAATAAAGTTGTCATCCCCTTTGAACAAAAACCACCCCAGGCAAAGTTTTTTCTATGATCCTTTGGCATCAACAAACTAGACATTTATCTTTATGCCAACATTGAATTGTATTCCAGTACAATTTAAATTCTGTTTCATTAGTGAATAATGTTTTTTCCAATTGTCATTAAGGTGACACTTGGCCCATTCAACATGATTTTGTTTATGAGTTTCCATTAACATTGGTGTAGTTATAGGCATGTTTTTTTTTATACCCTAAGGACTTTAAATGTCTGCCAATTGTATGGTAGGACACATCAATATCACTGTTATTAAGTTTAATGGCAATAGAACACAATGACATTGAGGTATCTCAGCAAATAGATTGGCCAATGGTTTTTGCTATATTAGCTGTTATTTTCTTTGGATGACCATTTCTGCTTTTATGCTCCAAAGTTTCATTTCTTTTGAACTTTTTAACATTATATTATATACATCAGGAAAATGGGTAACTTGGTGAGTTTTATTAATTCGGATATAGAATAGATCCTTTATTCCAGTGATATAATAATGTGTGCATCTTTGTTCATGAGTAGTTGGTGACATTTTTTGATGGCTAATTTGTGAAAATTTACTTATGATTTTATTGTTTAACAAATGTAATAATAAAGCTACTATTTACACTTTACTTTGGTAAAATATGAGATAAATTAAGTAATATTCACTTATTACCTAATTTAGTCCATAAATTGTTAAGTTTTTTTGTCACACACTCAGTGTGTAAAATTCAGCAGGAGGGTGTAACATTACACAGCTCACATGCACACATATTTTTTGGAAATTTTTTATTTAATTATAATGAATATTGTATTATCCTTCTTGTTTTTTATTTTTCCAATGCTTTATTGCTTTTAAAAAATCAAGAATTTCAATTTCTGGTCAATTATTAAATGATCATCTAATGTGTCTACATTCATTTGGTTTCTCAAATTATTTTTAATTAACTTTGTTTGAGAAAATATTCTTACTAGATGAGCATTAGAAAGGATATAAGAAATCCTATTCTAGCAACTAATAATATATTTGAATTGTTAAAAGGAAAATCCTCATCAGTATCTAATAGTGTTCCATGTCGCAATCCAAAAAAGGAAACAAAATGGTCGTAAAGGTGGTTGCAACCAGTGGTTGCAATCATT